ATGTCTCAGGCGAAAGGAGGTTTTCAGTTGACTTTACGGGATAAACATTTTTCAGCATAAGCAGGAATAATTTCTTTATGAATTTCTTCTCTAGGTAGGGCAGCCCTTTTGCCCTCCCCCTCCCCTTCCCCATTCCCCCCTACCCAAAATCGAACAACAGCTCCTCGTTCTTTGCAGATAAACTCCATATGTACAGTCGCCATTTTCTTTAGGTGTTGCGAATGCGCATGCAACACCTAGCGTCTCCTAACGAACAGAAACTTAAAGTTGGATTTTGCTGTCACCTAATGACACCTTTAGATAAAACCAACTACATTTTCCTGCCATTCTATAACCATTTGTGACTTACTTATTGACTTCCTCGTACGTGGAGCAGGAATCGTGCCTTGAATATAAATTTTCAATTAGGAATCAACATCATAACATTCGGGACACTCCAAAAAACGCCTCGTCTGCATCTTCAGCAACAAGCGAAAAGTTCCAGTTCTGATTGTACCACTATCTGATATACGTGACTACAACACTGGTCAACAACCAAAATGCACCAGAAATGAAAGTAGCTTATCTTAACTAATTTTGGTGTGCTGAAAACGAAATTATATATATATATATATATATATATATATATATATATATATATATATATATATATATATATATATATATATATATAATGTTGAATGACTCTGCTTTCAGGATATACGCTATTAGTTTACTTAAATTAAGGCCAAATTATTTATGTGACGTAACTGTTGAGGCCTGTTGCATTATTTTCATAATGACTAATAAAACTGTAACCAACAGCTAATGATACAATCTAACCTATGATTACATAAATATTGTGTATAAATATCTTATCGCTGACAACTTTCTGCCATTATCAACTAGTGTGAACAGTGCTGATAACTTATGTTATGTATGTGTTGAGGTGACATGTCTGTCTGTCTGTCTCTCTCTCTCTCTCTCTCTCTCTCTCTCTCTCTCTCTCTCTCTCTCTCTCTCTCTCTCACGCACGCAAAACCAAAACATAACTAAAGTCATTAAAAGCTTGCATTTTGGATGCTAAATAGAGCAAGATAAGAGCTGGGCGCCACATATACTGCAATTCATCTGTAGCTAATTTTTGACTTTGAGAATTTTCTTTGCCTGTTGCATGGCAAGCAAAAAGCAGCATGGCTAGCATTTAAGTCAGTGGTGGGCAATTTTCTTGGAAACAACAGATCTGATAATTGCAGTGAGATTATAGAAAATCTTCTAAAGGATGAGAGTCTTGGCTGCAACATGTCTTTGAAAATTCATTTTCTTTATTCTCATCCGGATTTCTTTACGTCAAACTGTGGAGCTGCCAGTGATAAACATGGTGAACGATTTCATTACAACATTGTGGACACATGGTAACGAGGCGATTGGAGCTCTTCAATGATTGTTGATTACTATTGGACTGTGACAAGATCCACCTATCAATTTATAAAAATATGAGGGGGACACTGTAGTCAAGCTAATACAAGGAATTCCAGAGAAATTTGACTAAAAAAAGCTCAACAAAATGGGGAAGCAGAAAAACGTGCATAAAACAACAAAACGTAACGTTTCGGCCGTGCAGCCTTTTCAAACTTAAGTAAACCACACAAACGTAATTACGAGGAAAGGAGAGTATGTAGATTTCTAAGGGGTGACGTGAGCAACGTTTAAAAAAAATGTGATATGGAATAAATGAAATAAAATAAAAATAAAAACGATGGCTAAAAAATATTGCCCCCCCCCCCCCCCCCCCCCCCCCCCCCCCCCCCCTCAAAAAAAATGAACAGTAGTATTGTTAATATTTAATATAATACTGGGAATAAAGGAAATACAAATGTTAATGATACATCACTGATACTGATAGGAAATAGAATAAAGTAATAATATGAAATAAAGGAAAAGAAAAGAAAATAGTTAACATTTAAAATGTGATAAGAGTAGAACTATTTAGATAAGCAAAGAGAGCGAGAAATAATCACGTCAAAATCAATCAGAAATGATGTGTTTGAATTCTCGTATTTAAAAAAAAACTGTTAACAATTGGTTAATCAGTGTATGAAGAGGACTTGTTGGCTGCAAGTTATCTTACAACCAGAGGATGATCAGGAGACATTATCTGGGTACTGGCACTTGTGGGAATTGAAGGAAGTGGGAAGACAGACGGAAAAGAAAAAAAAAGTAGAACAAATATCACTAAATTACATAATTGCATGCAGCTATAAGTAAGGACGGATTTCAATTTGTAGTTGAATAACAGTTCACTATAAAATATACCTAATGATAAAGTACACACCACGGTTATCAAATTTTTTTTGAAACATCAAGAGGCAGGGGAAGACCGAGAAGAATATGGATTGAAGGAGTCACTGAAGCCTTGAGACTGCATAACATCGCAGCGTATCAAGCGACGGAGTGCGCTCTGGCTCGACTGCCGATCGTCTGATGAACTGCGACGCCTAGCGGCATATGCAGATATTGACAACAGAAGAAGGAAGAAGTTTTTTTACAAAAGTAAAAAAAAAATTAAAAAAAAAAAAAAAAATTACCGAGTAATCTATACTTTCATAATCTGCTCCGATAAATAATTAATATATGCAGTAATAAATTATGAAAAGCATAAATGTCAAATATCAAAATAAAGCCACCCACTCACAAAGAAAACTAAGTGAGCGGAGTCAAGAACCGACATCATAGCAACTGGGGCACTCCAACACACGCCCATGCCTCATCTTTAGCAACCAGCGAAGAGTTGCAATTTTGATGACATTTGGAACGTGATATACTACGACTATAAACTAGGTGGTTTGGAGAAGATAGGATATCCTTCTCTAAATGACTACTCATTCTAAAGTTGGAGTTGCCGGACTATTTCCGCAGATAGACTGAAAAAGTATCACAGCCAAACTCGAAAACGACGGCGCCACGTAGTTCCTTATGATACCAATGAAAGAAAATTAGATGATGGATGGCATGGTGAGCCTGTTGAACGACAGAAACAGCCCATTCAATTTACATTGCATACTGGACACAACAGACTGCAAACTTGTGTACAGGAAACTAAAGGTCAAGGAGTTGGAACTTAACCATATGGACACCCACAAAAGAATGCTGGGCATAGGCGACATCCATTCTCTCTACAGTCGTTTGAGAGATTCCAGCTTTGGCTGGTTGGCATTGCAGTGGAAACCAAGCTCTATGGAACAGTGGTAGACGTGCGTCGCACCACGTGCTTTATAGAAACCTGTCGCCTCTCATCTAAGAACCACTTGCAAAAAAAAAAAAAAAAAAGGTGGGGGGGGGGGGGGGGGAAGAAATTACGGAACGTATCACGAAGTCGTCCGCACGACGAGAGTTCCAACCCCTCCAAACCATGCAAGTCGAACGGCCTGTCCTATGTTGTAGGGGTGTTCTGAGATGGCTAAGAAGAACAAGATTACCACCCCCTCCCCACCAACCCTTTACCCCCTTCCCCACCCGTTTTAAATACATGGGTTAACCGTGTACGTACAACCACAGTTAGGATAATGATCAAGCACAACTGGAAAAACTTTGAGTTAAGTTCAGTTAAGTCAATAATTTACATCACAGCACTCGGGGCATTCCCATGCTTGCTTCGTCCTCATCTTTAGCAGCCAGCGCAGAGTTTCAGTTCTAATAGCACCGGTCGTAATCTAGTTATTTGTCTGTCTTGACTTTCTCCTGAGTGTAGTGAGCTGGCCAGACCCGCTGATTACACCCAGAGGCATCATTCCCTCCAGGCCAATATAATCTCGTTTCGCTTCTGACTACTTTGCTTGTCCCTAAAAAACCCTGACCACATCTGCCTTGTCAGGGCCCTTTGGGAACAAGCAGGGGGAACCTTGAAGGAACTACTACAGCTGAGAGAAGGTTGATCCAAACATCGGCGACCGAGTTGCCCATGGGCTAGCCAGTAAACTGCCCCATTGTCGGTCGGGACAGTATTTGGATCTGTCTCCTACGATCGCATCAACACAGCTAGAATCCTTATCAGGGCTTATTGGTGACGAGCACTGTTAAGCTATTTTAAATGGTGCACATAACCGAGTCTTAATTATAACCAAAAGCTCCACCTTGGATGGTGCTGGCTGAGCGTGACGATTTTATTTGAGGGGGGTGGGGGTGGGGGGTGCTTAAAATCGAATCGGATCTAAAATAGTAAGAAGAATGTTAATAGAACTACTACAAATGGAAGAACGTTCTACAAACACTAACAGCTTGGAGAATGTTAATTGAACTACCACAGCAGGAAGAACTTATACGAACTACAGCAACTGGTACTGGAAAAAAGTACTACCTCAGCTGGAACAATGATAAACGTACAGTCAAAGCTGATGTTATTCTTTAATGCTTATGTTTGTTATGGTAATGTATTATTTACATTTCCGGTGGGGTGAGTTAACATACATGTAATTGTACAAATCCAATTGAGAACAGCACGTTATCTCGAAGTCCTAAGTATCGTCTGACGCTCACAGCCAGCACTGACGACTTACATTTAGATGGGATGTCACTTGTTAAGTAGATAATTGAAAGCGCCAGTGGTAAACAAGTTCATAAACAGCGTGTCTCAAGTGGATTTAGCGTTGACCAGGTCGTGTCTAGTTACGAAAGTAAAGGTGACTAAGGTCCGGAAAGAGAAACGTCTGTTGTATCCGTTTAAGCGTAGGTGTCAAGTATAGACTTTCTGTTGTTCTTTAGGACTATATAAAGTAACGATTTTTGTCACTAGATGTCACACGGCAGAGGCCTCAAGTAAATAAAACCAGCAATTTTGGGGACCATCCTATGCTTCTCTGTAATAAGCCACTGTTCAGTTCTCGTCAAGTTGTGTTCTGAATAGAGCAAAGAGGTCCTAACTTCCAGTCTCATTTCAAGCAAACTGGATCAGGTTTGACTTTCGACTTACTTTCCTGTCAAGCATATGGGATCTAGAGGCTGAACTAGAAAGATTATCAATCATGTCTCGAGTGTCAACAGTGCTGACTGTAGTAGTTTGTTTAACGGTGTGCTTTCATGTGACAATTGCCTCCAATAAAACAAAGGTAAGTGTCAGTTTTTTTTTTACATTTTTATACGATGAAAGAGTTAAGATGTTTTCTCATGTTACTGTGAACCCAGCAGAGAACTCAAATGAAGGTGAGAAGCCACGAGTCACTTGCGAAACTCTGTGCTAATAAATAAAAATGACATTTTACATACATGTTTTTACAAGCGTAATCAATATTATTGTCCATTTGTGCTGGTTTAAGAGGCAATTTGTTTTACTGTTTTTTTTTAAATTAATAATAAGCTCAGGCTTCTACGTTTCCGTGAACAATTTATGTAAATATTTCTCTTGTTTTATACTCGTCCTCTTTCCCACATCTCCATGTCGAGTTTCCGTTGTTTTATTTCCGAGTTTATACAACCCAGTGTTTGTGCTTCTAAATCCTTCACCTCTGCCACAAGGTGTCCACTATATACGTAGCTTAATGCAAGTAATATGCATGCATATTGAAAGACATACGCTGCCCCTCATACACAAACTCCTTACTCACGTAAAACTACCGGTTAGTAATGGCTGGAGAGGCCGTTCAGGGTGCCCTAATTATAACTTCTCTAAAAGTTTAACGGGGTATCTGGTATCTGCCTTGTTGGTCTGCCATCCCAACTGAGATCCTGAACATGGGAAATCTGGCTAGCATCAAGATTCAAACCCACAGCATTAAAAACTTCCTACTATATATGCGCCTTACGGACCAGCATATCCGATTTCAGCAAAATCCATAACTAGTGGCTTTTACGACATGCTTGTTAGGGGCAGTGGGTCTATTTTTCCTCTGATCTCTAAAATGAAGTCCCGAAACCCACACTCGGGTCCTTATATATTTACACTGATCATTTGTATGTTTAGGTGATCGAATCCTTCCACGTGAAGTCAGACATCCGGTATCGCCTAGCAACGACCCAGATAGAAAGTGTGGTGAGAAACACCGCAGGCATCGCCCAGGAAATCTTTTTTGATGTCACCCTTCCCAAGGAGGCCTTTATCATCAGCTTCGCTATGTAAGTCCTGTCAGAACTTGATCTAACTATTAAAGTTTTGAAGATACTGAGTCATTTCTATTTTTGCATTCTGGGCAATAACTAAAGCTTACAGATAGTAACTGTAGACATGAAATATTCAAGAAAGGAATGAAGGCATACGAGAAATATGGAATTCATTTTCTAGTCCTCTCCTACCTTTTAGGGTCAGGTTCGAAAGAGGCGTCGGTCGGGAAGCTTCGTATGTGCTATGTTGATGCTGGTATTTACTCCTTCAGATATTCCATCTATCCATTGCTTGCATAGTCGAAATCTAGCTGTTTTTTTGTTTTTTTGTTTTTTGTTTAATTGACAGGGCACTCTGTATTGCACTGTCTTATATTAGTCTTGTCAAATGTCCCATATAGTTTGGTACTTGCTCCCTCTAAACTTGTTTTCCTATACTGTCTTTTCTAGTTTCATTTCGAATTCGTCATAGATCTTTCATTTCTGTTGTCTTGATTTTTCTTTTCTATTTGTGTGTGTGCTAATATTCACTTTGACACTAGGAACACAGTTTTGGCCCAAAAAAAAAATCTCAATTGCGGCATAGCTGTTCTACAATATTAGTGACATCTGTCCAATAATAAATTTTTTCATTATTGATATAAACTGTAATCTTATATCTTTCCAGACAAACCAAGCCGTAACAGATGACATAAAGTAGAATGAGGAAGAGGAGGGAAAGAAGGAAGGGAAAAGCACGAAAAAGATACAAATATACATACATAAATACCTAACATACATACATACATACATACATACATACATACATACATACATACACACACACACACATACACACACACACACACACACACACACACATACATACATACATACATACATACATACATACATACATACATACATACATACATACATACATACATACATACATACATACATACATACATACATACATACATACATACATACATACATACATACATACATACATACATACATACATACATACATACATACATACATACATACATACATACATACATACATACATACATACATACATACATACATACATACATACATACATACATACATACATACATACATACATACATACATACATACATACATACATACATACATACATACATACATACATACATACATACATACATACATACATACATACATACATACATACATACATACATACATACATACATACATACATACATACATACATACATACATACATACATACATACATACATACATACATACATACATACATACATACATACATACATACATACATACATACATACATACATACATACATACATACATACATACATACATACATACATACATACATACATACATACATACATACATACATACATACATACATACATACATACATACATACATACATACATACATACATACATACATACATACATACATACATACATACATACATACATACATACATACATACATACATACATACATACATACATACATACATACATACATACATACATACATACATACATACATACATACATACATACATACATACATACATACATACATACATACATACATACATACATACATACATACATACATACATACATACATACATACATACATACATACATACACATACATACATACATACATACATACATACATACATACATACATACATACATACATACATACATACATACATACATACATACATACATACATACATACATACATACATACATACATACATACATACATACATACATACATACATACATACATACATACATACATACATACATACATACATACATACATACATACATACATACATACATACATACATACATACATACATACATACATACATACATACATACATACATACATACATACATACATACATACATACATACATACATACATACATACATACATACATACATACATACATACATACATACATACATACATACATACATACATACATACATACATACATACATACATACATACATACATACGAGGGCGGTTTGTAAAGTAATGCGTCCATTAATTTTCTTAATATACATAATGTATACACGATATGTACATTTTCCAAAAGCTTGGGATATTTTTTAAGATGTTATTATTTTTAACCTTATCACCGTCATATTCCATGTGTTCGTGGTAGCATCGATTTAGTTGTATTCTGTCGAAAGGGGAAAAAAATGACAATTTTTCGCGAAACCAAGAATGTACATAAGCTGCCACATCCCATTTCTATTTCCTTTGAGATGTTCCTTGAGCTTTGGTAACATGGAAAACAAAAGTTACAAGATGTCATATTGGGACTACATGTTGAATGCGTCAAAATGTCGTCAAAGTGAGGACGCGCTATGCTGCCGTTGTTTGTGTACTCGTGTGTGGGCGATTATTGTCCTGTCGAATATTTATCAGTCATTTCCTTGTGGGATGCAATTTTTCCTTTTTGTTTGAAGCCCTAACCTGGCTCATGCGGGGGCCGCAATGTAGTCCGGCCATAAATATGGTATAAAGACTGAATGCGGTTTCTGGGACCTCTCCACGGGTGATCCTCATCTACAGGGTGGCACTTTGTGTCACCAGGTGTTTATCACTTGTGTGATGTCATGGTGGAGTAAAAGTACTACTACTACTGCTAGTCCTGCTGAAGAACTGCGTGTTAACCAGGATGAACACGCAGGCATCTTACTGGTAGTTTCTGCAACGTTTCCACATTGCGATCAGAGTTTACCGTACCGTCGTGCTTAAAAAATATGCCTGGTCTATACCTTGGCAGTCCCAGAAAATGGCTATAACAACCTTTCCGGTCGAGGCAGCAATCTTGAGTTTTGTCTGTGTGTGGTAGGTGAGCTCTTATTCCTTTATTCCTTGTTTATTCCTTCTTTTCAGGTCCATAACCATAATGATGTACCCATGACTTGTCGCTAATGACAGTTGGACGAATAAAGGTATCGACTTACCTACCATTCATGAAGCGTCAGGTTTTCCTTAGCACACCTGATGCCGGCGCTGTTTCATGCCCGATCTCAGACCCAAGCTTGACGTCAATAATGCACTCACTCACCTGAAATCCCAAGCTTAGGGGCAACATCTGTTTGCATCTTTGACGATTGTCGGGTATCATTTCACTGACGCCAGCTCGGTGTTGTTCGTCCACAGCTGTGATGGGTTGTCTGCTGCGAGTCTGATCATGCAAGTCCGTCAATGCTGAATTGTTGCCCGCCGTCTAACAGTACTGACATCTGCACTGGCGTCACCAGAAATAGCTCTTATTCTTGGATGCAAGTCCGTCAATGCTGAATTGTTGCCCGCCGTCTAACAGTACTGACATCTGCACTGGCGTCACCAGAAATAGCTCTTATTCTTGGATGCAAGTCCGTCAATGCTGAATTGTTGCCCGCCGTCTAACAGTACTGACATCTGCACTGGCGTCACCAGAAATAGCTCTTATTCTTGGATGCAAGTCCGTCAATGCTGAATTGTTGCCCGCCGTCTAACAGTACTGACATCTGCACTGGCGTCACCAGAAATAGCTCTTATTCTTGGATGCAAGTCCGTCAATGCTGAATTGTTGCCCGCCGTCTAACAGTACTGACATCTGCACTGGCGTCACCAGAAATAGCTCTTATTCTTGGATGCAAGTCCGTCAATGCTGAATTGTTGCCCGCCGTCTAACAGTACTGACATCTGCACTGGCGTCACCAGAAATAGCTCTTATTCTTGGATGCAAGTCCGTCAATGCTGAATTGTTGCCCGCCGTCTAACAGTACTGACATCTGCACTGGCGTCACCAGAAATAGCTCTTATTCTTGGATGCAAGTCCGTCAATGCTGAATTGTTGCCCGCCGTCTAACAGTACTGACATCTGCACTGGCGTCACCAGAAATAGCTCTTATTCTTGGATGCAAGTCCGTCAATGCTGAATTGTTGCCCGCCGTCTAACAGTACTGACATCTGCACTGGCGTCACCAGAAATAGCTCTTATTCTTGGATGCAAGTCCGTCAATGCTGAATTGTTGCCCGCCGTCTAACAGTACTGACATCTGCACTGGCGTCACCAGAAATAGCTCTTATTCTTGGATGCAAGTCCGTCAATGCTGAATTGTTGCCCGCCGTCTAACAGTACTGACATCTGCACTGGCGTCACCAAAAATAGCTCTTATTCTTGGATGCAAGTCAATGGTACACAAACTTCGACCGTCAAGATATCAATAAAAACTCGCCGCTTCACTGTAGCTGGGTCATTGATGGCCTTTTTGTACGCTGATGATGGATTCCTGGCTGCGACATTAATTTTGTATTTATGATTATGTTTTCTTGGGACTAGTTCTGCTTGCTGATTGGGTTGATGTTGTCAAATGTGAAAAAAAAAAAAAAAAAATGCTTCTATAGTGCAGTATATAATATATTTTGTAATCTGACAATTCCAGCTATGTATACATTGATGTAATTAGTAAACTGTGTTTAAAATTGACCCGTAACAAAGAATTCTATGTGCCTTGATTTCACAGGAAAATTGATGGTAAAGTCTACAAGGGAGAAGTCAAAGAGAAGTCAGAGGCTAAAAAGACCTACCTTGATGCTGTTGAGAGAGGACAAACTGCTGGTCACGTCAAACAGGCGTATGTTTCTTGTCTCGTACATATACACATTGTATTATCGTCATATAGGGCTGACAGTAGATTCCTTCATATTGTTCTATCCAGCATCACCCCTTTGGCATCCCGAATAAACTCCCCTCTGACTTCTGTCATCATCATTTGTCATAGAGCTTCTCATTCTATTTGTTTCCTTTTGCATGGCCTAAAAAATAAATTGTTTTTAGTCCTTTTTGTCTCAGATTGTATCGTCATCGGTTTATTCTTGCAAGTGTGTACCAGCTGCGGTCCAGATTTCTCTAAATGCTTTGTCCTTCTTGAATTCATCAAATTTAAATTCTTGAATTCTTCTTTCTTTTCTCAATATCTGTTTATGCTTTTAGGCGTCGCCTTTCATCGGACGATCCGTAGCCGAGCCAGGGCGCGCTTAGCTGCTTGATATGTCGTCATGTTATGCAATCTCAGGATGTCAGTGACTCCTTCAATCCATATTCTTTTCGGTCTTCCCCTGTCTCTTGATGTTTCGATTTTCAGGTTGTGCGCTCTTGCTGCTAGCATGTTTTTTTTTCATTCTCATTTGATGGCCAAACTATTTTATTCTTTGTTTCTCAATAAATTTGACAATGGGTGTTGTTCCAACAGTTGTTTTTATCACGTCGTTTCTCACTCGATTTCTTCTGGTTTTATTTACAGCCATTCTCAAACATCTAATCTCACAGGTGGTTAGTTTTTTTTTCGTGTTCTTTTGTCAAATTCCAAGTCTGACATTGGTAATTCCCTGTATTATTTCAAATAAATTGACATACATAATGTATATGGACCATAATTAATTATAATTTTCAAATTCATCTCAGCTTTTCGACTGCAATATTTTTCTACTTATATATAATTAGAATGCCATTGTCAACACTATCATCATCCCGTTGTGCTGTTTATACGTCATATCATTATACTCTGCTTTATGCATTTTTAAATATCACTGATGAATTAAGTCTCTCTCTCTCTCTCTCTCTCTCTCTCTCTCTCATATATATATATATATATATATATATATATATATATATATATATATATATATATATATATATATATATATATATAGACATACACATACATATAATACATTGATTAGAAAAATAAGAAAAACGTGAGAAGAAATAATTTGAAAACATAGTAAATTGATTAGAGAAATTAGAAAAAAGTGAGAAGAAATAATTTGAAAACAGTAAAATGATTAGAAAAATTAGAAAAAAGTGAGAAGAAATAATTTGAAAACATAGTAAATTGATTTGAAAACTAGGAAAACAATGAGAAAAAATAATTTGAAAACTGTTGGCAGTCTTGAAGTGTTAACAAGTAAAATTGCGCCCTCGTGGTAACGCAGGTACGGAACTGTATGAGATGATCGTTGGATTGATCATGCCATCACAACAACGCAAAGAGTTGGAAACAATGCAGTAATAACAGTATACAACAACTAGCAGTAACTGTGTACTTTTGATGTTGCAGAGCCCGCCATGCCAATGTATTTGAAGTGTCTGTCAACGTGGCAAACGGATCTGCCGCCACATTCACACTAACGTATCAAGAAATGATGAGACGAAAACTGAATGCCTATCAACAAGAAATTCATATCTCTCCCGGACAGGCGGTGAAGGACTTTCTCATCGAAGTCTTCATTCAGGTTAGGAGAGACATTGTATACATACAGGCACTTGGTATGTGTGTGTGTGTGTGTGTGTGTGAGTGTGTGTGTGTATGTGTGTATGTGTGTGTGTGTGTGTGTGTGTGAGTGTGTGAGTGTGTGTGTGTGTGTGTGTGTGTGTGTGTGTGTGTCTGTTGGCCACAACACGCCTTAGGCAGCTATGTGCTAATTAATAGAATGGGGAAAGGTTGTGGGGGGGGGGGTAGTTAAACATACAGACCACTGGAGACAATTTGGGGAGGGGGAGGGAAATAATAAATATATATATAACAGACCCTAACCCACTAACCCCCTTCAAACAAAAATAATTATTATAACAAGGAAGGCCAAAGCATTATCTACAACATGTACACACAGTAGGTAGAACATCGCTTGGATACTAAGCAGATGGAAAACATCTTTAGACATCTCAAATACCTAGCTGCCTTATGTAGTTTTAAACTCCCTGAACTGCAGATGCAATTAACATAGTGTTTATGTGAGCTAATAAACTACATCTGTCCGGTCTGCAGGAAAACAAGCCGCTCAGATTTGTGAAAAGTCCAGCCTTACAAACAGGGTCACTGCTTACTAACAAAATCGAAGGTAATTACTCAAATATACATGTATGTGCTTTGAGCAAATACACTTTAAAAAAAAATGCATTGTTTTAAATTTTTAAAAATAGGAATTTAGTTGTTGTTTTTTTTTTTTTGTGGTAAAGAAAAACGAAATCATAAAAGATAGTAATTATTAATTAGATAATTGTTCTGTCTGCCAGCTTTCGACAATATCATCAAGGTGTTTTACTACATGCTGTCTTGTGTAAGCTTTTGCACAACCACTTAATGTCGACTGTTAGAAAAGTGGGAAAATGGGAAAGGGGGGGGGGCGGGTAATGGGAGGGGGGTAATGGGGGGGGGGGGGGACTACAGTCAAGCTAATACAAGGAATTCTAGGGACATTTGATCAAAAAGCTCAACAAAATGGCGAAGCAGAAAAACGTGCAAAAAACAACAAAACGTTTCAGCCGGGCAGCCTTTTTCAAACATAAGTAAACTACACAAACGTAACAACGAGGAGAGGAGAGTATGTAGATCTCCAAGGGGTGACGTGAGCAACGTTTAGGAAACTGTGATGTTTTCAAGCTTATACGCACCGAGAAACGGGACTGTCACAGTGAAAACTTAACGTATCGTTAGCCCGGTTTGGTGACGTCAGCAGCATGGTCCGTCAGATGGAGACGGTCTTGATGAGCTCTTGTTTTAAATGTCACAAACTAGTAAAAGAAGAAACAATCCAAACAGCATAGGAACTCATTGTGTAATTCACAGACAGGCTCTGGCAGCCACAACCCTGCCGCAAGACCTAAACGATACACTAATACAACTGTACAAGTGGTCCATTTTGTGAAATCAGCTTCATAGAACACCAGACTCTTTCGTGCTCCTTGTGATGACCTTCAAGTTACACATGATAGATTTTATACCTGGGTCAGCTGGTTATCCAAGGGAAAATATTTGAGCTCGGTTGCACCAGATATTGGGGCTTTTTGTCCGCCTTGCTAATAATATTTGTATGTGTGTAATATATATATATTTGATTAATTTTGATTAACATTTCCGGTGATGTCAATATCACCCCGTCGTCTTGACTTTGATTAACATTTCCGGTGATGTCAATATCACCCCGTCGTCTTGACTTTCATTAACATTTCCGGTGATGTCAATATCACCCCGCCGTCTTGACTTTCATTAACATTTCCGGTTACTGAATCTAAATGATGTTGTCCTGTGAGAATACATCGGTTAAAAATGTCCATCTCGTCGAGGATTCGAACAGATAATCGACGGGTTGGTAGGTGAACGTTTTATTCACTTTGTCACGGTGGCTCCACTTGATCAAGATTTGTCAGCGTATTTAAAACTTGTGGTCTTAAGCGCGGTATTTTGTAATTTATTGTTCCATTCCACAGTTGATAGCAAAATTACAGTGATTGACAGACCAAGTGCAAACAGCGCATACATCTCTTACAGACCCTCACTGTCAGATCAGGGTGATGGCGGTCTCTCAGCTCGCTTCATTGTTGAATATGACGTGGAGCACAGTGCTAAAGGCGAAATCCTGGTAATTTCTGTTGTTATTGTCATTATTTTAGTGAATTGAAGTGTTTTTTGGCTACGTTATACCTGCCACTGTGCTTTCTATTTACACGTAGTCTTCCTCGGCAGGTAATACACTTATCCTTCTTAACAAAAATAGCAATTTGCCCAAACGATAATTTAATAATATATGAAAGAGTCAAGATCCGTGACTAGTTTCTTATAAACATAAGCTGTCCAGTTTGATTTATAACCAGTTATAATTTTGAAAAAAAATGATAAATATACTCTTTCGCGTAACTGATGATTTGAACATTTGATACTAGAGATGTTTGTATAGTCCAGTCAGCACTCGATGGATGATGTGCTCAGAAAAGTTGCTAGTGCTCAGATAAAACTGGGTAGACCCAGATGCCCGAGACCAATGAATAAATGCGGATTTTAGCCCAAGATCTCTATTGAAGCAGACAAGAGTCTAACAACTGTGCTAAAGTGCTCCTAATCAGTTACAGTGTAGTAAAGATCTTTTGCGCTTATTGTTATTCTTAACTTTTACTTCTTTATTTGTGAATTTTTTGTTTTTGTTTAGTATTCTGAAGATATTTTGTTGTATTTTAAAATATTGCAGTCCTCTAACAAATATATATGCAGGTTTACGTGGTAATGAAAAAAAAAAACATGATAGATTAGCTGCTGCCGACACTCTGGGCGGTGAGCTATTCTACGGTAAAGTGGACATAGCTGGATCAAGTAAACAGTACAGCCAACAAAGCATTCCTGTCTGGAGAAACAGATTCAGCTGGCAGTGAACCGAACGTCTGAATGATTTTTCTACGTTCAACCATTAATCAGGTGGTAGCCGAGACAACCAACATCTCTTCGACTGCTGCTGGAGAAGGGGATGCGGCGCATGTGTCACAGTACACAGTGATGTCAATTCTTGATCCATTCTTCATTCATTTAGCTACAGTAGCTATTAAAGTGCAAAATAACATACTAGGAATTTTTTCTTTTATGTTTTCTCTTTCCATTCCCCCACCTCAGAATTACATTTGCCAACTATTTTCTGATTTTTTTGAACCGACTGTCTTCGTCGACTTGTCACAAGAATATAGTTTTCAAAAAGGTATTCTAGTGTGACACTTCGTAATTATGTAGAGTTATTAGTTCATACGTAATAAACATCCCAAATTGTGTATGTTATGATAACAGGCAGTTTTTACTATACTTGTTTCCTAAACAGTTGCCCTCTGTGGCTGAGGTGTTGTCAACACAGTTTCACAATGTCGACATATAAGCATTCAGTCAGCTACAGCTGATCAGTAGTAGGGCTCAGTGTGTTCAGTTTTGACAATAGTATCGTAGTGATAATGCGGAGAAAACAATTGCAACGTACGGAATGTGTCATTTCTCACAGAGAAAACATAAACAATAGGCTACACAAATTATATGGATTAAAGTTAAGCAAATAAATCAATCCCTGGCAACAGAGACATGGAATTTTGAAGATAGCCTATTCGATTGTATGTGTCAGTTATAAAGATTTATTCATTTGCCTAATTTTAATAATAATAGTGAGCACCTGACAAGATGTAGCGACACATAATAAATTGTGAATTCGATTTCTTGTGTCTTTTTTGTTCAAATTCACAACAGGGAAACATTGCTCTGAATGTAGAATTGTCTAGAACAACAAACAGAGAGTCAATAAATGCATAGTTTGCTTGTTCACATAGCTAAGAAATGATGCAACACACTTGTGTTTCATAAATTGATGTTCTCCACAGGTAGTTGATGGCTACTTCGTTCATTTCTTCGCTCCCGATATAGCCCCGATGCCAAAGGACATTGTTTTCATTTTGGATGTGTCCGGCTCAATGTCTGGTCAGAAAATACAGCAGCTGAAAGATGCCATGTTGGCCATCCTGGGAGATCTTCAGCGGGAGGATAGGTTTCACATAATCACGTTCAGGTTTGTAGTCGATATTTATATCTCTAACCCCCCCCCCCCCTCCCTCCTTTTTCCACTCTCACCCTCTCTTACCTTTTTGAGAATTAGTTCACGGGACTGACAAAAACTTACTTTTGTTCAAAACTAAATTTCACTTTCAGTTACATAGGTTGTGTTGTAGTTTTATCTTTATTTTCAAATATACTCCCTCTAACTGGGCCAGAATTGAAATTGTTTCGTCCCTGTCTTGAAAGACTGGGTACATGGTTCACTGTCTGGATTTGAGGGGACTATATCATTCTTCAGTTCTCTCTCTCTCTCTCTCTCTCTCTTTTTTTAATGATAATAGGCATTCGGAATTGGGTCTCCCCTGGTAGATCTCCAGTTATCCTAAATACTCTGGCTCAAAAGACACTAAGCTGAAGACGCCTTTGAGAATAGGTAAGGAATGTAAGCCTCTTTTTCGCAGTTTGTGAGGTATTCGGTACTTAATTTCCTTCTCAGATCGCAGATTTTTAGACCATCCCTAATCCATTTATGTACTATGTGTATATTCAGTAGAAATTTATTTTTAGCCTCATTGGCTACACAACTTTTAGTAAATTCTCTAATGTGAGATTCGAGGAAGTATGTTTGTTAATATGTCGTACAATAATTTTTTGTCCTTATCTTTAAAATTCACAGCAAATAAGTATCGCTTCCAAATATTCACAGGTTTGTTTTTAAAAAAGACGTGCTAATTTCTGAACATCTTACGTAGCAGGATCCGCCTCATATTGCCATTTTTCATTATTTAGTAGAAACTTCATGTCAACCAATCCAACGGTTTGGCCATGTAACACAATTTGCACCAGACAGGGCATCACAGAGAACAGTGGTGTACAGATACAGCGGTAACAGAGCCAGAAGATGGACCGCAGAAATATATCAAACACCGAAAAGTACTTTATACGTAGGAAACAAGTCTTGTTTATCTCTTCCTGCCCTGATGCTGCGAGTTGCATTCCAGGATTAGAGAAAAGCCAGAAGAGAATGCCATGCAGGCAGTGTCTTCCTTTCTTCCTTTCTATAAACGCTTGTATGCTCTTTCAGCATCAGAATTTGAAGACACATCTGATACCAGACATTGTGTGTGGTGTGTGATAAATGATGATATGATACCAGACATGGTGTGTGTTGTGTGATAAATGATGATATGATACCAGACATGGTGTGTGTTGTGTGATAAATAATGATATGATACCAGACATGGTGTGTGTTGTGTGATAAATGATGATATGATACCAGACATGGTGTGTGTTGTGTGATAAATGATGATATGATTCCAGACATGGTGTGTGCTGCGTGAATCAATTATTTCGGCTGGAATTAACGGTCGTTGAAATCAAAGAAGATGAAGAAGATTTACTTGACATTTTAATTTACAAATCTAACATTTATGTTTTTAAGCTCATCGGTACACAAGTGGGAAAGTGAATTTTCAAGTGCAACTCCAGAGACAATTGAGAGAGCACGAACTTTCATCAGGTCAATTGTTGCTGACGGAGGTGAGTCACTTCAAAAGTCAGTTATGTAACAGCCACGAAACAATTGTGTTTAATTAAAAAAAAAAAATCTGGTTTTAATACAGAGCTGGCCAACAGAGACACTACAGCTAACTTCAAGTAGGGCAGTTTTCCTACGAAAAAACATCCCTCCCCTCAACAGAAAGTGTTTTGAAAAATTGGGTGGGGGGGGGGGGGGGTATCTAGTACTCACTATAAAGTGTCTTTTACAGTAGTGGATAGACAAAATTATGCTTCAAAACAGGTGCTACTACTGCCACCGTTTCTGGCCTCCTGAAAAATATCTCAGGGTTTACAACGGATGGATTAATAATCTGCAACAGCAGATAAAGGTATTATCCAATGATTAGATAAAGGAATGAAAAAAAAAAAACCCCAATAAAATAGACATGGGATGACAGATGAAACAGGCAGTCACTCTACATCCGCGTATAGTTAACTATTTTCTAGAGCTTACAATAGAGATTAAAGAACGCCCACTTCACTTAAAGCAGGAGAATATATATTATATATACATATATATTAGGGCTGTACCGAATAGTGATTTTCACTATTCGACTGAATACGAATAGTGGGACCAACTATTCGGCCGAATACAAATACCAATAGTGCATCATCATCATCAGGTGCCTTGCTGACTGGCGTGGGTGATCATGCCTATCCACATTTTTTCAGTCCATGACAGTGTATGCAGAAACGGGAATAAGGTAACCACTATTCGTATTCGCCCGACCGCAACTATTCGGCCGAATACCGAATAGTTATTAGGTCCACTATTCGGTCCCAAAACGAATACGAAGCGATTATTCAGTACAGCCCTAATATATATATATAAACAAACACACAAATACACACACACACACACATATATATATATATATATATATATATATATATATATATATATATATATATATATATATATATATATATATATGTGTGTGTGTGTGTATCTGTGTGTTTGTTTATTACCTATAGACTCGGAAACTACTAAACCGAATTAGCTGAAATTTTCAGAATATGTTTGATTTGATACCGTGATTCTACCTGTCATAGTGTGAAATAGGTGGCGATATTTGTTGGGAAAATATTTTCATTTTAGTGACATTTAGTTAAAGCCACATCCATATATGCGCGTGTGCAGTAGTCGGAACGCACGACTGCCACCATTCGCCGGAGACACAAACTGTTAACTGACAGAGCTTTAAGTCACAGTAAATGCCTTGCCCACTCAAAGTAGTAGCAGTAGTAGTAGTTGTGGTTGGGCGGTTACACCGTAGTGCTATCATGCGGCGACAAAACCTCTGGCTCGTGGCTCCCTGTCTCCTCCGATAGTAAAACAGATAGCAGTGATATTATTGTAGTGGTGGTAGTCGTGGTAGTCCTGGTAGTAGTTGTACTGGTACTTGAAGGATAGTGTGGTAAATATTACACTAGCCGCATTTACTACTCATTACAATTACTGCTCCCCATTTTAGTCCGGATGGACAGGGATATCAAGGTCAGTTACAAAAAATGTCAGGTGATGACTTTCAAATCCTTCGAAAAGGGAGAGAGCAGGAGTCAGTGGATGCGGGAGGGGAGGGAGTGATGACTGAAATTGTTAACTTAAAGAACTTGACACATAATTTGAAAGTGTTCGTTTCTCAATTTGTTTATATTTTATTAACGCTACCTCTGCTATTCTCATTTTTTTACGACTTACTTGGTATTTATAAGTACAGTAGTAAGCTTTACTTCATTCTCTGATAAAAAAATACAAACAGCTGTAGCATGTGATAACCTAATAAGCATTTTTGTTTAACTGTGCTAATAATACCATTTAAACGACCACTAATAAAAAGACACAATTATATGTTGCGTGTTATAAAGTGTGTGCAGAGAATGATTGTGACATTAACTATATTAGGCACGTGCGATTTCTTTTGTCTTTCCTTTCCAAAAACCTTCAATGATAATATATATATATATATATATATATATATATATATATATATATATATATATATATATATATATATATATATATATATATATATATATATATGCACAAAATGCATTATATATATATATATATATATATATATATATATATATATATATATATATATATATATATATATATAGATATAATGCATTTTGTGCTGAATTTGTCGCCATATGTGAAACATAGGAGTAATAGATTACATTACATTTTTATAATGTACCCTACAACTTTTGGGAAGGTCGTGGGTTCGTTTCCTGACGGAAACGTTTTTCAAAAATGACTGATACCAGCTAACATCCTGTTAAGTAAAGACGGCCAATGTAATGCAGACCACATCCCCTACTAAATGGTCTATACAATATAGGTCTAGCTCTATATACCCAATATGCATGAAAGGCGTGAGAATGGGTCCTTTATTATTATCTTAACCCAACAACTCTTCGAAATCTCAGCATACCGTTACTTGAAAATGTACAGTTATCAGCAAGATATACCTAGTGAAACATTTGCCTCCCCGTAAGATGATCTGCGCAATACTGGTTACATGACCAAATGAAATCTACTGTCTCGTTAAATGTATAGCTTGCACCATGTACCCAAAACCGGTAACGACATGACACGCGAGTCTACTATTTAATTTTAAAGCTAAATATTTTAGTATACACTTCAATACAGATGTTTAACCTACACGTTTCTATTTCAGGTACTAACATCAACTCTGCCTTGGTAACTGGCGCTCTGGAACTTAAAGGAATAGAAGATCCCACACGAGCTGGAATGATTTTCTTTCTCACTGACGGGCAACCTACAGAGGGCATAGTTGACCCTTCCAGAATTACAGCAAACGTCTTGGAGACAAATGGCAACACATCGGCCATATTTGGTCTAGCCTTTGGAAAATACGCCGACTATGACCTTCTGACAACAATCAGTAATCAAAACTCTGGGTTTGCCAGAAAGATTTACGAAGATGCAGACGCCGCTTTGCAGGTTGCTTCTTTGTACAAGGAGATATCAGCCGTCTCCATGAAACACCTGTCAATTGATTACTTACCAAGCAGCGTGGATGAGTTCACAGTCACTAAACGGGACTTCCCTGTTATTCTCACGGGTACTGAAGTGATTGTTTGTGGCAGACTGGCAGAACATGCTGAAGTCTTTCAGATGGAAATGACGGCCATTGATAAGTCTGGACCGGTCAACATGATCATCGAGATCGACAATGTAACTGACCTGGTCATTGACGGCGGGGAAACTGACAATAAGTTCTTTACAATGCCTCGCGACTTCTCAGGAATAGTTGAAAGAATGTGGGCGTATCTAACTATCAAGGAGTACCTGAAAGACAAAGAAATATATGCTTCTAATGAAACAAAGGTAGAAGAACTGAAGGCAAAGATTATACAGACGGCAATTAAGGTATGTATTTTATCGTGGTATGGGACGTCGCAGGTCGACCCAGCCTAAAATGGGTACCAGGATGGGCTGTCCTGGGAAAGTAAAGACAGCCGGCGTAATGCTGACCACATTACCCACAGAGTGCTGATGGTCTGTAAAAATATGGGACGCTCTGCCCATATGCCCGATGCGCCGAAAGGCGTGAAAAGGGATCTTTACTTTACTTTTTTACTTATATTGAGGAAGAAAATTATGCAGGTAATCAAATTTATCGATTCTGTCATTCACTCATAATTTTCAAGACAATGAGGGGGAGAATGTTGATGATCGTCCTTAACATCATCACCATTATCAACATTATCCTAATTTCTTTTGTTGGGTTACACATGTGACCGTGTTTTAAATAAGTTCCTATTTTGTTTTACCTAACAGTTTACATGTGTCCGGCATAACAAATTGTGCAATATCACGAGAATTAAAGTGTTTCCAGCACGTTTGGCGCATTTATTGAAAACTTATGTCATGAACAACAAGCAGCTATCAGAGCAGCTGGGGGAACATCGAACTGGTTGGATGTGCAAATGTTAGAGAGGCAGGGGTGCATTCTTTTCCCTATCTATTCGATATATATACATCATCATCATCATAATGTAGCAGGTCCTTTGCAGCACCTTGCTCTCATCACAGTCTGTCTAAAAGAAACTAGGTCTCTCGCCAGCTCTCCCGCCTCGTGTACTTTCACACTCAAGGAGTCACTTATATCCTGTGCCCATCTTCGTGTCTGTCGGCCCCTGCCCCTCCTTCCTGGTACCATGCCTTCTGCTATAATTGTTCCCAATCCCTCGTGGCGCTTAATATTACCAAAATATTTCAGCTTCCGAGACAGGATGCTGTTTATTAGCCAATCTTTCATGATGTTCAGATCTTTCAAGATGTGAGTGTTTTTCCTCTTCTTTGTCTAAGATATTCTAAGAATCTTTCCAGAGCTTTTCGTTTTCGTCAAAAGGCTAAACACTCGCCTGCCAGCCTGAAGATCTTGAGCTCGAATCCGTATCGAGACGAATGTTTTGTTTTCAAAATTGGGGGTGCCTAGTTGACCATGTTCGTAGTGCACTTGTATCCATGTCGAGGCGCAGATGCCGTCTGGAGGTGACAGGTTCATTTCCCGGCATGGTAACTATAGCTTTCGATTTTTATGTTTTCTAGTGTGTTCTTCTATCTTTCTACTTCTTTCTATAAGTGCCGATCAATATACTTTCTGTTACTTGATTAAGTCATACCATTGGAATGAGAATCACTCGGGGACAGGTCCCAGCAACCCTGTTAAACCCATAGGTTGGGTTATACTAGCCCCCCCCCCCCCCTCTCTGTGTACAGTACACACAAAAACACAACATTACGTACCACATTGGGACGCACTGTACAAAGTATTTTGTTCTTGTCCGTTAAAAATGGCTTTATATAGGAATTCCTGTTTTTACAGTACAAATTTGTGACGCCACTGACGTCAATGGTAGTAACCAAACCGGACAGTCGGGAGAAAGCCGTGGAGTCATCTCTAGAAGACGCAGACAGTCGCCAGGAGAGCAAGCAGCAGAGCGGACGAGTGTTTCATAGTTTTCCTGACTGTAAGTATTTCATATCTTTCTCTCACTTATTATTCGTTTTCGTCTAAAGGCTAAACACTCGCCTGCCAGCCTGAAGATCTCGGGCTCGAATCCGTATCGAGACGAATGTTTTGTTTTCAAAACTGGCCTCAACTTCCATGTACCTTGAAAAGAGTATCAGGTATTTTCCTGTCCAACGTATTGTTGACCTCATCAACCACCCAACATGACGTTGAAGACATCAACCACCCAACATGAGGTTGACCACATCAACCACCCAACATGACGTTGACCACATCAACCACCCAACATGACATTGACCACATCAACCACCCAACATGACGTTGACCACATCAACCACCCAACTTGACGTTGACCTCATCACACAACTAGCGTGACGATGACCACATCACACACCTAGCGTGACGTTGACCACATCACACACTAGAGTGACGTTGACCACATCACACACCTAGCGTGACGTTGACCACATCACACACCTAGCGTGACGTTGACCTCATCACACAACTAGCGTGACGTTGACCACATCACACACCTAGAGTGAATTTGACCAAATCACCCACCCAGAAAGAATGATATTATCCACATCACTCACTCATCGTGATATTGATAATATCACCTACCTAGCATGATGTTAACCACATCACTTACCCAGCTTGTAGTTGACCACACCAACCCAGTGCTGAATAGTCCATTGTTTGTTTGTTTTAGTATCCAGAAGCCATGAGTTGTTAATCCTTAGGCTCGTTATTATGGATATCGCAACCTTTCGGCCTTGATTCCATTGTAAATACCATAAATCTGGGAGAAATGTGGCTTTTCTGCCTACCCCCGGGATTGAACCCAGACCACAAGGAGTTCTCACCCGGTCTCCGCGCAATCTGGTTTAGCCAATTACGCTAGAGAGCCGGGCCCGAATAGTCCATGAAAATATCAGTAGCATCATGTTCCCAGTGTGACAAAGGCGTAAAAAAGGCCCTTATTTACTTTACATAAAGTGTATTGTGCGCGTGTGAAATATGACAAGATATAAAATAACATTTCAAATAATCTCAATTGTTTTCGGTAATTTGCTATTTCAGGGGCGTCGGAAACTGGAGGTTCAGTCACCTTAAGCCACCACCCCCCCCCCCCCCCCCACTCACCCCTCCAAACCTTTTAACGCCTCCAATAATGTGTTAAAGCTAAGAGCTGCTACCAACAAAACATGTGCAGCTGTATTAAATGCTCCCCTTTTCCCCAAACACATAAATAGAAGTTCTCTTTTTAAGTAATTCTTTGAACATTTCACATTATTTCTAGTAATTATGATATTTATTTTCCACTTAACACCTAATGATAATGATAATAATAATAATAATAATAATAATAATAATAATAATAATAATAATAATAATAATAATAATAATAATAATAATAATAATAATAACTGCCATTATTGAGCGCCCTTAAACACTCGAACAAGATAATTACAGAAGGGCTCCCATTCCTTTATGCGGGCGCCCTTTGCTTGACATTGTCTCAGAAAGCATACTTGTGTGTAAATTGCCTGGGCATGTAGCAATCAACGTCTCAAACGCTGATAATGTGACTGAAGCCATGCTTCGAAAATGCACATCTCCAGCCAGATTTTATTTACAGTCTTCCTGGTTATTTTCTTTCATTTGCCATAACTCTTGTCCTCTCCCACATATGGGTAGAGGGGAAGGAAAATGTTGAAAAAAAAAAGGGGGGAGGGGGTACACTCACACTCCCTTCTATAACCATAATGTCCAAGAAGGCGACGAATCAGGGATGTTGCCTTCGAAGTAGGAGCGCTTCTGCCTGAGAGGCAAGGAATCAACAGTCTGTGCATCAATTACCTAGATCTATCAAACGGATGTGCACCCAAAACTAAAGTTTTGGTGCAAGATCAAAGCTAGAAGAGACGAACATCTAGAATGTTCCGCCAGACTTTAGAGTCGATGAACGCTAAGAAGGAAAAACGAAAATGATCTAAAACAAACAACATTTACTTTGACTCACAGAGACATGTTTGCAATATGATCTGATAACTATTAATCCATCCTGACCCAACCGAGACCAGTTAGTCAATCAGACGTGTTATGTACTGTTATGGATTAGGTAGTAAAACCCAGGACTTGGAAAGGAGGTGGGGTGGGGAGGGGGGGAGGGGTTTATATTCCACAAACCCATCTTTTAAAAAACCCAATTTAAGCGTTATTATCGCAGTCTAGTTGTAATATAATAAGGAAGCTGCGTAGAGTTGGGTTTGTAGGTGAATGATAATTACATCCTAAACAGATGAAAATAAGAAATAGTGAAGATTACCTAAAATTGCCTAGGCTAGGATGGGGTAGAGGCAGAGGGAGACCAGGGAAAGAAAAGAAGCTTTTCAGTTTAAGGCATCAAGGAAGAAAGGGTCATATGTACCAGAAAAGACTGAAAGCAAAGTCGCTAGAAGTCTGTGGACAGACAAGATTATTAACGCCCCTTGTTGCGGACAAAAAAAGGGAAAATACTAACAATTCGCATTACCAATGTGCAATATATCCACATATCTCTTTCTAGATAAAGATAAAGTCGGGAGATATGAGCCAGCGTCATTGCACACGGTTATAAACCATAAGTGCTCTGCTACTAGTACGGACAGCTGATAAGAAACTGTCCGCCTGTGTCGCCGTCTGCACGTAACTCTGTAGCTACAGCGACGTTCCTCCATTTACCCCAGAGTGTCACTCTGGTGCTCATTTCTTAGAGGATGGGTCAACCCCAGGAACCGCCTGGTTTCGAACACCGACCGTGGCTGCAGCGAGTCGCAGCTGGATTTGAAAGTGAGCCTCCTATCGACTGCTCTTATGCGGCTCTTGAAATGCCTTAGAAAACGTTTTTATTATTTTACTAATTGTAAATATATATCTGGCTTTCAGATGTTGGACGAGGCGCTGCTGTTCATTCAAATGGCCAATTTGGTCCACAATTCATGAGATATAATGGAGGACCCCAATTCTTTCCCTCGCGTTCTCAGCATCCAGTTAATTCCAAGGCTAAGAAAAGGAAACAGGGAAATCGAAAAGTTGACAACACATTTTCAGCTACTCCGCCCACACCTACTTCAGGTAAAGTAAATAATAAGACAGCGAAAGCTGAGCAGTTGGATTTTTTTATGTGATGTTTTTGTTTATTCACCAAGGTGGTGCGTTGTGGCTAACATTTGTCATTAAACTTGGAGGAGTTTGAGAGAACGGGACTTGCAATTTTGGTTCTTTCGCCAAATGGAAGTCACCCCGTAGTGCAGTAGCTTGTGTGCCAGCCGAAAAGTCTTTGGGTGGAATCTCAGAATTTCCTACGGTATTGGGTGGCCAGCTTTGAACATGAATTTTTTCCGGATTTCCAGATCGACCCAGCTGTAATGATGCTAAATCATGAAATCCTACAACGTCACCCAGATTAGAAACTAGTTAACCAAGTTTAGGGTGAGTGAAGGTCTACAAGTAAACACAGATTTGTGTGTATAATCAGTTCTCTCGAGAATATCAGAACAAAGTTGGCCAAACTTCGTGGAGAGAAGGAAGCTGAAGCCAAACTTCGTGGAGAGAAGGGAGCTGTAGCCAAACTTCGTGGAGAGAAGGGAGCTGTAGCCAAACTTCGTGGAGAGAAGGGTGCTGTAGCCAAACTTCGTGGAGAGAAGGGTGCTGTAGCCAAACTTCGTGGAGAGAAGGAAGCTGTAGCCAAACTTCGTGGAGAGAAGGGTGCTGTAGCCAAACTTCGTGGAGAGAAGGGTGCTGTAGCCAAACTTCGTGGAGAGAAGGAAGCTGTAGCCAAACTTCGTGGAGAGAAGGGTGCTGTAGCCAAACTTCGTGGAGAGAAGGGTGCTGTAGCCAAACTTCGTGGAGAGAAGGGAGCTGTAGACAAACTTCGTGAAGAGAAGGGAGCTGTAGCCAAACTTCGTGGAGAGAAGGGAGCTGTAGCCAAACTTCGTGGAGAGAAGGGTGCTGTAGCCAAACTTCGTGGAGAGAAGGGTGCTGTAGCCAAACTTCGTGGAGAGAAGGGAGCTGTAGACAAACTTCGTGAAGAGAAGGGAGCTGTAGCCAAACTTCGTGGAGAGAAGGGAGCTGTAGCCAAACTTCGTGGAGAGAAGGGTGCTGTAGCCAAACTTCGTGGAGAGAAGGGAGCTGTAGACAAACTTCGTGAAGAGAAGGGAGCTGTAGCCAAACTTCGTGGAGAGAAGGGAGCTGTAGCCAAACTTCGTGGAGAGAAGGGTGCTGTAGCCAAACTTCGTGGAGAGAAGGGTGCTGTAGCCAAACTTCGTGGAGAGAAGGGAGCTGTAGACAAACTTCGTGAAGAGAAGGGAGCTGTAGCCAAACTTCGTGGAGAGAAGGGAGCTGTTGCCAAACTTCGTGGAGAGAAGGGAGCTGTAGCCAAACTTCGTGGAGAGAAGGGTGCTGTAGCCAAACTGCGTGGAGAGAAGGGAGCTATAGACAAACTTCGTGAAGAGAAGCGAGCTGATATAGTAAGAAAGCTAGCCATTCAATATTAGACATTTTATTAGCCGGAATGCCTGCTTGTGTATAGTAATTGTAATGACTGAACGTTTGTGAATAAGCAAAAAAAGGGCAGAGGAAATTTTTTTTTTGAAAGTGACAATGGTTCATTGGTAGAACTCCATAAAAATTCAGAGCCAGAAAATATCATTGGAAATCAAGTCGGCCAGGGTGATGTTGGCCCCAACAACCATTGGGTACATTTGATATTTCTGATGCCAGCATTTATTACGAAGAATTTCAACTCAAATGTTTTGAATGTTATAATTTGCGATTACGAAAGCGTCCATATTTGTCACTGGTAGCAGAGTATTGGCTGAAATAAGCTATTTACCACTAAATCGCTTTATTAATGTGTGTTTTCTTGAGTAATTGCAGCAGTGAGACGTTTGCCTACTTTTTTGGGGGGAGGGTTTCTAGCACGATAGGACATCAGAAGAACCGTCTACTTACTTACCTAATTATCTTCCTCAGACATGATTCTGACAGCGATCACAGTTCGCACAAGCAACCTCAGTCTGTGCCTGGCACCCAAGAAAATCAAGAATGGAAGCTATGAGCTTATCAAAACTCCCACTGGTAAAATTGCTTAAATGATCATTTCACCGTGCATTATTAGATCTTTATATAGGATGAATACACAGATCTCCATTTAGTGCACATAACTCTTTATCTAGACGTAAATGTAGATCTGCATCTAAGGCGTACGTAGCTCATTATCTTGTGTGTAAACATGGATCTTCATCAAGTATGAATAAGTATACCTTCATCTAGTATGTATACATAGATCTGTATCTGGCAGGTATACACAGAGAAGATACGTACATATCACAGACTCAGGACTAAAGTAAACAGGGACAACAGATAAAACAATTACCATCAATCTACAAACATTCATTAACTGGCGCGTACATAGTAGATGGAATTTAATGGTATGATAGTATCACTTATGTTGAGCTTTGGGAGAGAATTAAACAAGCTCCATTGATTCACATGCTGAGAAAAAGCTGAAAACAATACAACTAGAATGTTTGCATTAAAACCCACAGAGGCATAGAAAAAAGACAGTCCAAACGCACGTGGAGAAATGAGTTAGATAGTGAAGTTTAGATGGGGACGACATGGATGGACAGACACGCTAATAGGTAGTTGGATGGGTTGATGGACAGACAGACGATTATAAGATAAGCAGAGACAGACAGACAGACAGACAGACAGACAGACAGACAGACAGACAGACAGACAGACAGACAGACAGACAGACAGACAGACAGACAGACAGACAGACAGACAGACAGACAGACAGACAGACAGACAGACAGACAGACAGACAGACAGACAGACAGACAGACAGACAGATAGATAGATAGATAGATAGATAGATAGATAGATAGATAGATAGATAAATAGATAGATAGATAGATAGATAGATAGATAGATAGATAGATAGATAGATAGATAGATAGATAGATAGATAGAAAGATACACACACATATTCACATACATATACAAACACACGCACACTATACACATACATACATACAGATCACACATGCACACACAGACACACCCACAGAAACACACACACACTCAAACAAACACACACATGCGCACAGACAAACAAACACACACACAGATACACACAGGTATACACACACAGACACTCACGCTAACGCACAAACCCGCAGACAAACACACGCCGAAACACAAACACGCACACACAGACACACGCACACACACAAAGACACACACACACATAGACTTCATTCACAAACACACAGATCCACACAGACACACACATACGCACACGCTCACACAGACACAACCCACAGGCAGACACGCAGACGCACACCCACACACATAGACACATGCAGATACACACGCAGACACACACGCACAAACACACACACCAGTAGACACACACGCTTATACACACGCAGACATACACACAGACACGCACTAATAGACATACCCACTCATGCACGCACGCAGACACACATAAACACAGTCACACGCACACAGACACACCCACACACACACACGTAGATACACACGCAGACACACATGTAGACACACACACGGAGAGAGAAACACACACAGACAAACACACACAGACATATATACACGGACACACAGAGAGACATACACAGATTTATACACACATAGACAGACATTTACGCAGACACACACACAGATACATGCAGACACACGCACATACACACAGACATACATGCAAACACATAAATACAGACACACATGCACCAACACACACAGACTCACATACACACAAAAAACAAACACAGATACACACCTACAGACACACACGCAGACATGCACACGCAAACACAGACAGACATGCATACGTAGATACACAAACACACACGCAGACACACACAAAGTAAAACACAGACAGACAGAAAAATAGGCAGACAGAAAACCAGCCAGCCTGCCAGAGAGCCAGCCAGACAAACAGGCAGAACTATCGACAATGTTATACAGAAAAAAATGTTTTTATACCACCTGTATTTAGCACTTGTTAAGGCGGTATAGAAAAGGGAGGAGAAACAGGTAAGAGGGGAGGGGCGGCGTTCTTTAACCTGGGGATTTACGGCCGCATAGTTAGGGCAGTTGCCACGCACTGTGCAGGTTGTGAGGTCCCTCCCCCCTCCCAGCAGAAAGAAATGTCACCACTTTACAGAGAATTCAGAATGAGCGCCCAGCATTCTTAACTTTTTGGTCGGCTGCTCCTCACTCCATTGCTTGAATATTAAATGTTGAATTGAGAATTGACATCACAACACTCGGGACACACTCGTGAGTGCTCCGTCCCCATCAGCAGCAGCAAGCGAGGAGTTCCAATTCCGATGGCATCAGTATCTGTCTGATTGTAAATCGTTTCACCTTTCTCTTGAGTGTTGAGCCTCCGTCAGATTCCCTGGTAACTCCTCGCAGCGCCATTCTCCTCGGACCGTATTGATCTATCTGCGCCTGCGCAATGGTCACTCGTTCCCAAAGGGCCCTCACAATATCTAGCTTGTCACACATCAGTTCACCACCAAGTGATGCAGAGCCAGCCAGTCTATCTGCCTGTTCATTTCCCAACACACCGTTATGACCTGGGGAAAATATTCAAAGGATGCTAACTACCCGGGACCTCTGATCCAATGGTCTGAGTGTTGAACACTGGTGAAATGCTCAACATATTCCCTAACAAAACAAAGGGGTCAAAAACAGCCACGTAATGTTGATTTTGATTTGTGATGTTCTATAAACGATATAAAGCTGGTTTTGTGTCTATACACTATCATTCAGTTGTAACAAAAAATCTGACTTTTTTACAGACGTAAACCACTTTTGAGTCTGACCTCAGCTGTTATTATTTGTTTGAAGGTACACAAATCAACATTGAAATATTCTGCTTTAGTAAGAGCTGTAAGGACATAGTGGTGAAAAGCATTGCTTTTAATAAAAATGGATCATCGACCAAGATATCTGTACAACGGAATCACACCTGGGAGTATAACAATGGGAGCCATACCAGCGTAACACAGTCAGACAGCAGACTAACAGTACAAGGTAAGAACTCATTATCTGTATTGTCGTCGTCGTCACCACCATCCCTGCAGTCATCATCAAATGCCTTAACATTGTCATTATTAGCATCATCATAATCATTGCCACTACTACTACTACTATCATCATCAACATCATCACAACCACCATCATGGTAAATGTCAACCCTACTAGCATCATCATCGCCTCTACCACCGTCATGATCATTGTCACCATTATCATCATTATCCTCAATACCTTTACTACCACCTTCCTCATTATCATCAAAACCATCATCATCATCCAACGGTCACCACAACCACCTTTATCATCAACATCACCATCTTAATCACTATCACCACTGACATTATCACATAGTCACCATCACCACGATCACCATTACAACTAGAGTGAGCATTCACTATCACATTAATCACTATCACCACTGACATTATCACAGTCACCATCACTACGATCACCATTACAACTATAGTAAGCATTCACTATCATATTAATCATTATCAGACTTCTAGTCGAAAATAAGGATAAGTCGTTTGCAATCTGTCGTGGGTTCGCTCCCTGGCGGAGCCGGACTTTTTTTTTAATGACCTTGACTCCCAGGTCGACCCAGCCAAAGTGGGTACCGGGTACAGTCCCAGGAAGTAAAGGTGGTCGGTTTGATGCTGACCACATCACCAATCTTATGCCGATTTGTCTATAAAAATATACGTCTATCCCAATATGCCCTATACGCCTCAAAGCGTGGAAAGGGGACCTTTACTTTACTTACGTTGTAATCTGATAAGCTTTGAAGTTATTTACGCTTGTGGCAATGGTTTACTTATGCAGTGTCTACATATGGACTGGAGTCTACGGTTTCGCTGCCTGTGTTAAGTACTTGGTGCAGTACTGTGAGCAGTTTATTACGTGTGGAATAACTTTCCTTTGTCACGGCAGCGATTATATCGGGCTTTTAAAAAAATGGCAGATAGCTGGTTTGAGCTTGGACTGGTGAAATACCTGGTGCTATAATGTTGAGTGTGTATGGCCAGCTTGTCATGACTGACTAGACACTTCCATTATACTTACTTCACAAGGAATTATTTGGCCTCAAGAAGAATAAACTTAAAAGGGGAAAATCGTGGATTCGAGGACTCTGTCCAACAGTGTTCGCTGTCTTACTGTCATTAATCATAGAATTGAATGGATTCGCGCATGCTGCTCAGACATTTAAATTACAGTCATAGTAGAAGCTGAAAGAAGTCGCAGAGAGCAGATCCCTGGCATAGTAGGCACGGTAGTCTGAACTATGACTGATGAAAACACAGTTACAGGTGATGTTGTAGTGTACACGGACAGATCATTAATTCGAGGCTGGCGAAGTGCATGGGAATTCACACTGAACTGACGTGGGAAAACTATTAGGGAGATGATGGCACCTTCCCTGTTACAACTAGCAGCATTACAAAGGAAACGATGACTGTAACAAGGACACTAGAATGACTGAGTACTCTGAAGTTCACATACTTCTGCTCAATTAATGATTCAATCAATATGTTTGAGAACATCCAGGCTGAATTCTTCAGGCAAGAATTAATTAGGTCACTTTGCGAATGGCTGGCCCAACCATTACCTTTGCCCCGGGTTTATCGGGTGTTTGAGGCAACGAGCGTGCAGACACTGCGGTTACTATAGTTGGTCCTGTACTGGAAAGAAACGACGTTATAAATTCCAAATCAGTAGCACATATCGTGAAGATGAAAACAGCAAAGGGTATTGCTCTGTGTCCCTGGCCATGGGAATGAAACGGCAAGCTGCAAGAAATGCACATTTCACTAGGTGTGACAGGAAGTTTAAATAATCAACGCAAAACATGCGTTTTGTTGTTAATATCTGCGTTAGGCAATGGTAACGCAATGTTAGTTTTTTTTTTTTTTTTTTAAACCTTGGAAAAAAAAAAAATACGATATCGTATAGTGTTCTTTCGGTGTCAGCTGTTACTTGTTTGTCCTTAACATTTGTGACAAATGTTTTTTTTTTCTTTATAACATCTGCGATCTGTCTTTCATTTCATTTTTTCATTTGGTTACACTTCCCATATACTTAAGTGATTTGCTTGATTGAGTTGTTGGTTTTCTATTAATATTTTGACTGGTTGTTCTGTTGTTACAATTGTCAACACTTCTGCTTTTTGTTTTCTTCAGTGACAACTTTCGTGCTTTGTGCTTTTGCTGCTACGTCCCTGCAGATCTTTCATTTTATTTGCCATGAGGTGTTTGTCGTATGCACACACTCAAAAGCAGTTAGTTCATTGCACTTATTGTCCTCAGCAGTAATGTGGGATGCTTTACTGATTTGATTTATAAATATGATAAATAACAGGTAAGGAGGGAGAACGAGATAGAGATAGAAAGAAAGATAGATAGTTAGATAGATAGATAGATAGATAGATAGATAGATAGATAGATAGATAGATAGATAGATAGATAGATAGATAGATAGATAGATAGATAGATAGATAGATAGATAGATAGATAGATAGATAGATAGATAGATAGATAGATAGATAGATAGATAGATAGATAGATAGATAGATAGATAGATAGATAGATAGATAGATAGATAGATAGATAGATAGATAGATAGATAGATAGATAGATAGATAGATAGATAGATAGATAGATAGATAGATAGATAGATAGATAGATAGATAGAGAGAGAGAGAGAGAGAGAGAGAGAGAGAGAGAGAGAGAGAGAGAGAGAGAGAGAATGAACGAACGAACAAAGTTTATTTTTAAAGGATTACAATCTGGTCACGCAGGCTTGTCTTACATTCGGCCTTTCTAAGCACTCATCTTTCAGCGTCAAATGCCAAACATTCACAATTCAACATATAGAGTTTCCAAAACCAGACAGGAACCCCTTACAGCTCAGCAGTTATAAAATCATTATCTTGCAAAATGTGTATGGGAAATTGCTGGAAAATAAATTGTTTTAAAGAAAGGGATGTCACACTTGGAAAGGGTGGGCATGCTACCGGATACCATGGCAGCTGTATGGCATCAAAAGCAACAGGGGATAATACTGGTACGTTAGCATATGATGTTTATGAAGGATTTCAGCGAAAGCAAGAAACAATGGCTGTTGCGTTAAATCCTGAACACGCTTTTTGCGGTATTGATTCACATATCCTATGCAATGCGGAATGGACTGCCATGTGAACCCTTGGTTGGATAACTGTGTGAGAGCAGCATTGCTGAAAAGAACAGTATTTTGTTGTTGAAAACATTGAGATAGATCCAAACGTATTTGACCCGGCTTTCCTCGGGGATCACCATTGACCTGTCTTGTTCAATATACCAGCAAGTCTGGCAAAACTACAGCCCACTAGACCAGGGCGAACTTTAACATTTGCAGACGATGACCTAATGTTTCGAAGCGGGTCAGACAGGCACGACGTGACCGGAGACTTGCAAAGTGCTTTGCACACGAGGACGGAGTGGTGTGAACAGACAGGGTCAAGGGTAAACCCAGAGAAGGCCAGTGTTTTGTGGTGCTCCTTAAATAACATCATTGTAAAGGAAGACTTGCCCAGCATATCCATGAAGAATATAAATGTTGAAAGAAGAGTTAAGCTGAAATACTTATGTTTCAAATTTGATGGCAGTCTGTCCTGCACATATCACTTGGAACAGACTATGTTCAAATGCAACTTGGCCTGGTGACACTGAAGACGATGGTGGAAACTAACATGGAATAGAGACTATTGGTCTTATCGTCAACCAATTAGTCCTTTTAGTTACTGATTAATTCCTAGGAATTTTAATCCTATCGACTTTATAGTTTACAAAGCTTAAAAGCTTTCAAAATAAAAATAAAAAAAAAAAGAGAATTGTCTTGGGTTGCACAAGAGATACCCCAAATAGAACAATGAGGTATATACTTGGGCTGACATCGGTCAAGTCTAGACTGTCACTAGCGCAAGCCAAGGCCTACCTGGAAGTTACCAATGATGAAAGGCATCCGCTGCATGGCAATCTGAAAGAATTAAGAAGGGAACGATTGAAAAGAGGAAAGTCGTGAATGGCACCAGCTAAAGATACCATCGAGACATCGGCCTCGGTTGAGCAAAAACACAAGGGGCAGGAGCGGGTGGACACGAACACCCACAACAGCAGTTTCCATCAGGTCATTATCACTTTAGGAAGATAGTGTAGAGGATGGTGTAACGGTATTGCAGAATTAGAGGCATAACAACTGATAGATGAAAATGCTGGGCAGTAGTGTATACCGATATTTCTGTTCATCGGGGTGTGAGATCTGGCTGGGGATTTTCTTCTAGAATGAAGGAAAAGGTCGTGACAGAACAAAATATAGCTTTTTTTTTCAATCTAAAACTTCAAGCATTAGAATAGAAGTGGAGGCAATCACTGCAGCTTTGATTCTGAGAGCAGAAAACAAAGTTACCAGATGAATTATTGGGCTTGATTCTCAGTCGGTACCGTGGAAAGGTCAAAAAGGACTAATGTAGCATGAGTTGACACCATGTACGCCAGCATTGAAGGAAATCACGTGGATATACCGTCAGGATATGCAGGAGTTTGAGGTAATGAAAGGTCTGATATTCTGGCTACAAATGATGTAGCTACGGGAACACTCGTACTGGACAAGGGAGATATAGTAAAGACCATACCTTAACGAATGTTTACAGAGGACACGGGATTAGATGAAATAACATGTGCGCAACTGTATCAACGAGGAATCAGGAGTTGATCCCACAAGGACGGGCGTCTAAAAAGAAGAGAATGACGTATGGAGTATAACCAGTGTGTGACGAAAACAGTTAGCAACTACATCTTAGGACATTTGCTGCAGGAGAAGGAGCTTCTACGGGTATGCCCGGTGTCGATTCTTAAACCAATAATCAGTAGCCAATAATTATCCCAGTGCATGGGTAATTTTACTTGAGCTCCTACTGCCAGGTCTCTCTTGACTTTGTTTATTTTATATAAGGTTTGTTTTTATTCTTTGTAGACACGGAAAGCGAATATGAAGTGGCTATCGACAGAGCAGTAAAGAATGGACTACATTATTATACTATAAACATTACATTGCCTCTTCCCAAAGGAAATAAAGGTTTCATTGGTAAGTCGAGATTTAGTTTTACGAATGTTTGCTACTGTTCGGTTTATCATTCTTACTACTGCTATTTAACATAATGAACCATTTCGGTACGTTACAGATCTATGGTCCTAAATTTATTTTTTTATAAATAATTAGGAAACAATTGAGTGATGTGATCAATATTACACCTGTCACCTTTACTGTTATTACAATTTCTGAATATCCATTTGAGGCTAGGTAGATCAGGATGATCGATGCTTGTTTCACCAGTGTATATATATCTATATATCCAGGTTCTTCAGAAAGTTCCACTCATGTTTGAATTAGTAAATATGACATGCAGATGATAGGTTTATAAGATAATAATGGCCATGACGAAACGACGTGAAAGACTTTTTTTTTTTTTTTTCAAATATCTAGAAACCCTGAGTTGTTAGCCCTTTGGCTCGGTACTATAGATATAGCAACCCTTCGGCCTTGATTCCATGATAGACACCGTAAATCTAGGAGAAATGTGGCTTTTATTCCTACCCCCAAGCGTGAACCCGGACCACAAGCAGTTCACCACCAGGTCGCCTCGAAGTCAGGTTTAACCAGCTACGCTAGCCAACCGTGGTAGAAATAACCTTCACAGTTGTTTTCTAATATAAGTTAAAGAATACAGAGGTTTGAATTCTGTGGATGTAGCATCGTCGGAGTTGACAATAACCTCTGTTGAGAAACGCAATGTCACTAGCAACACAAGAAGAGACAGAGCTACGAATACCAAGAATAGAGAGAAAAAATGAAATAAGATTTTGTCTGGTTTCTATTACCAGACAAAGAATGAAATGGTTCAGTCATCTAGTAAAAAATGCAGCCAGGCCAAACTGCAAATAAAACATTTTACAGCAGAACATCTGGGAGGAAGGCGACAGGAAGACCAAGAAAGATGGGGGTAAACTGGTGGCCGAAACCTGCAAACAGATGAAGAAATCCGTCACCCAAGCCACCCGAGAAGCTGCAAGACAAATATAGTAATTCACAATATTGGGTTTCTACCTGGTAGCAGCCAGACGACAAAATAAGAAGAAGAAGTGCAACGCACAAATATCAGATGCCGTGTCTTGCTTTAGAAGTTACTCTCGGAGACAGTAAGTAGTCTTGCTTCAAAAGCATATGGTGACGTTATGAAACTGCAATAAAGAAGTAACAAGATTTTGAACTGCACAAATGTTTTCATGCAGGCCGTGTTAGTGTTGATGATAAATATAGTTAACTACGGCCTACTATACTGTAAGCAGTTATCATACTGAACGAGTTTGAAACATTGCTCGTGCTGACAGAAGACTTAGTGTAAGAAGAAATATGAAAATCAAACGAACGGAAACACATAAGTACTTGGGTGCAAGCTTCAACTGCTTCAACATGCTGATAGAAGAAATACAATCTAGAAAACATTCTAGAAATAAAGTATACTATGTTCTTTAACAGCTGCTAACGTCAAAGTCAAAAACTGTGTACACAAGGAACCTGATTGGTCGTAGACCACGAAGCAAACCAAGAAGACGATGAAGAGATGATGTCCAGACAAACCTATGAAAACTTGGTGTCACCAACTTGAAAGAGAAGGCCAACCAGAGAAATGAATCGAGGCGGGAGATATCTGCAACAATGAACATCAAGGGCTCGGAATACTGAAGAAGAAGAAGAAGAAGAAGAAGAAGAAGAAGAAGAAGAAGAAGAAGAAGAAGAAGAAGAAGAAGAAGAAGAAGAAGAAGAAGAAGAAGAAGAAGAAGAAGAAGAAGAAGAAGAAGAATAGGAAGAAGATACAACAATCGGCTTCGTTTGTTGTTTCGGCGTTGCAAACTCGCTTCATATTAAAGACATGTGTTATTATTTTTTTCGGCAGGCGATATCCTAAACATGAAGAGCAAACAACTTAACAAATGGAGAAAAACCAAAGTGCCTGCCATATGCAAAGACAAGTCCACTGATATTTCCAGGACTGTGAACAACAAAATGTTGGCTGGTTACAAGTTTATGCCCTGATCAATCTGGTATTGATAGCTGCAGATGTTTTAAAAATTTCCTAGTCCAAAACTGTCAATAGAGTTTAAAACTCAACTTTCTAGTGCAAAATTTTTTGAAGTTTGCTACAATACAACACCGTACATTGTAAATCAAATTTTAATTATAAATAACTGCAAAAATTGTGATTGTGTATAAATTACCTTTTTCTTACGAGAAATAAACTTCCACTGCAACTGAGTTGCTAGATTGTTTGACTGACGTATGTATGCAGCTTTATCTAATTGTCTTCTTCAGCACTCCCACCCCTTGAGGTTTATTGCTGCAGATATCCCCTGCTTCCACTCATCTCTCTGGTTGGCCTTCTCTTTACAGTTTGTGACACCAAATGTTTGCAGGTCTGTCAGGACATTTTCTCTCTATATCTTCTTGGTCGACCTCGTGGTCTGTGACCATTCAGCTCTTTTGTGTATACAGTTTTTACATCTCTGTCATTTAACATTCTCTCTTATGCCGAGCCATTTGAGTTTATTAGTCCTGATGATGTCAGTGATCAAAGAAAACTTTTAGGGTTGAAAGATAAACACCGACCTCATTGACACGCTTGTAACCATAAAAACTAAAAATTGACTGAATGCACATGATGCAGATATTTCTCTGGAGCGTAACATGACATGAAAGCTGTATAAAGAATTTAAGAGCAAATAGGTTAAACCAGCAACATCAGTAAAGACATTGTTTTTTTTTAAAGCTAAACAGCATCTACACAGAGCGTGTGCTGAGTATCTCCTGTATACATCTACACAGAGTGTGTACTGAGTATATCCTGTATACATCTACAAAAAGCGTTTGTTGAGTATATCCTGTATACATCTACACAGAGTTTTTGCTGAGTATATCCTGTATACATCTACACAGAGCGTGTGCTGAGTATATGCTGTATACATCTACACAGAGCGTGTGCTGGGTATATCCTGTATACATCTACACAGAGCGTGTGCTGAGTATATCCTGTATACATCTACACAAAGCGTGTGCTGAGTATATCCTGAATACATCTACAAAGAGCGTTTGTTGAGTATATCCTGTATACATCTACACAGAGCGTTTGCTGAGTATATCCTGTATACATCTACACAGAGCGTTTGCTGAGTATATCCTGTATACATCTACACAGAGCGTGTGCTGAGTATATCCTGTATACATCTACACAGAGCGTGTGCTGAGTATATGCTGTATACATCTACACAGAGCGTGTGCTGAGTATATGCTGTATACATCTACACAGAGCGTGTGCTGAGTATATGCTGTATACATCTACACAGAGCGTGTGCTGAGTATATCCTGTATACATCTACACAGAGCGTGTGCTGTGTATATCCTGTATACATCTACACAGAGCGTTTGCTGAGTGTATCCTGTATACATCTACACAGAGCGTTTGCTGAGTATATCCTGTATACATATACACAGAGCGTGTGCTGAGTATATCCTGTATACATCTACACAGAGTGTTTGCTGAGTATATCCTGTATACATCTACACTGAGCGTTTGCTGAGTATATCCTGTATACATCTACACAGAGCGTGTGCTGAGTATATCCTGTATTCATCTACACAGAGCCTTTGCTGAGTGTATCCTGTATACATCTACACAGAGCGTTTGCTGAGTATATCGTCAAGGACCTGATATCTATATTATTGAACTAGGGCTCGCTGTACGGCCCTATGACAGACAAACTATACCAAAACACACTCAACACATACACAAATGAAGCACACACATCATCTTTAATGACCAAAGAACAATATAGCCTAAAACAACCTCTACAGTTATGGACAGTCCCCTAATCCGGAACGCTCGGGCAGTGGCGGCAGTTATATTTACCTATCCACCCCGGGCCATTCCCATGGATGAACCAACGGACACGATTCCACCTCCTGCAGTGCAGCGCCAACTAGGCTACGATCTTCGCCATGCGAGACTCAGTGGCACACGCAGGGTGAGTGGTTCAAGTATTAGCGAAAAATGTCAACGACAGCAAAAGACGCAGATAATCCCCAAAAATCCAGGGACAAGAACACCTACCTAAACATGGTGCAACCCCAACACAACTGTCTTAGCATACTATCAGCACACGAGGAATAACAACAGCTAACCAACACATACGACGACACCGTTAACACTACACAACCTATCTGTCAATTCCTAACAAATAAATACAATCACGTCTCTCAAAATGTCCTCCTCCTCGCATGTCCCTTTTCTCTTCTCGTTCAGCTCCGGTTCAAACGTGTACGTTGCACCAGTGTTCAAGCATCTCGGGTTTTCCCCGTATCATCAAACCAACTGGCTGAGCGCTGGTGCACATTTTTGGTCCGTCAAACACCAACATATAGTTAAACGACGTATTGTCTATACTCTGTCCCACAGGGCTATGATATATATCCTGTATACATCTACACAGAGCGTTTGCTGAGTATATCCTGTATACATCTACACAGAGCGTTTGCTGAGTATATCCTGTATACATATACACAGAGCGTTTGCTGAGTATATCCTGTATACATCCTACACCTTTTTAAACTAAATATTATTTTTGTTTAAATGTCGGCTTTGATATTCCAGAAGGGACTTTTCACGCTTTTTTAAAGTTAAAAACAACTTATACAGAATAATATGAATACAAAAATATATGTAAGAAATAAAGCCGTTCAAGCTGTACAAGCGTGTATTTTCTCTGTGAAGTGTTTTTGCCACCTGACAGTAATAATCGCATGATTTCATTGCAGACATTCCTGTAACTTAATTTTTGCCAGTTCACAATGTTAGTAGTTTGACAAATATTAAACATCAGCAAAATGATATGTGCATTTTTTTTTCTTTTGAGTAAGACGAAGCTCGCAGACGCGTGCCTTCATCGTCGTTTTCGTATTTGTCGTCTTTTCTCTATATCCTTCTCCACCTGGCTGCCCTGGAGTAGACAATGGCTATAGCGACACTCTGACTGATAATACTAAATAAGTAATTCAGTTATTGTTATCAATGTACGTATAGGCTGAACATACACATATCACATAACCATTTTTATCAAGTGCCTAGCCGACTGGCGTGTGCGATCTGGCCGCTCCGGAATATGCGTTTATTGTGTTGATACGCTTCCATGCCATGACACAAGGCTGTCAAGAATCTTATGACACCGTCTTTATCTGTCTCTCTTTCCGTGGATCTTTCCAGTGTGGCATCATGTTCCAGTTCTGACGATAGTGTTAGACTGCGCTATGAGGAGGCATGAGACTCACAGTACTTCAGTGTTTGTGATTTTGTCCTGCCACTTAATGCCAAGTACTCTTCTTGGGCATCGCATGTGAAAGCTATTTAGCCGTCTCTACTGGTGCAATTAGGTTGACCAAGTTTCAGCGTCATAAAGCAAAGTGCTGAGAACACAATTCTGATAGAAAAGGGTTTTTGTTTTAATTGTGAGCTTTCTGTACTCCCAAACTCTCTTTGTCAATCTGATCATTGTTGTTGCTGCCCCACATATCCTGGTGTTGATTTCTTGGTCCAGCGATAGGAGAAGCCCAGATAGGTAAAATGGTCTACTGTCTCAAGCTCTTCGCCGTAAATGTAGACTGTAGGCCTGTCATATACACCTTGCACCATAACCTTTGTCTTCTTTTTGCTAACTGTTAGTCCAAATTCACAGCAGGCATTAGCAAATGCAGATAGTAAACATTGCAGCTCCTCCTCTGAGTGTGTGGTTATTGCGGCATCTGCTAACAGCAGCTCTCTGATGAGTACATTTTTAAACCTGGTTTTGGCCTTCAGCCTGCGAGCATTGTAAAGGCTGCCGTCAAATCGAGAATGAATGAATAAATGAATATACCACCCTCCTGATCTCGAAAGACGTGCAAAAAAAAAAAAAAGTGAAAAGCATATTCTAAAGATGGTAGGAGCAAGTACACACCCCCTCCTTTACTCCATTAAAATCTTTATTTATTTCTTTGGTAAAGAAAGCAGACACTTTAAAATGTACTATCGTACCATAAGTCTTATGAGTCATGTGACACAAATTTTACTGAGAATAATTATGAGAAGAATACTAAACAAGATTAAAGCAGAAATTAGTCAATAACAATATGGATTTCTGAAGGGAAAATGTACAACAATGCCGCATACATCCTTAAAACTTTTTTAGAAAGTAAAAAACGAACTATGCTTATGTTTCATTGACTTTACGAAAATATTTTATTCTGTGAAACATGAAGAAATAATCAAACTACTGGAAAAGTGTAACATTGATTGAAAAGATTAACGAATTGTGAAGAACATATATTGGCAGCAAACAGAGCTATAAAAAGTATTAAACAGTTGGGGACATATCATAGCATAAAGAGGGCAGTATGACAAGGATACGTACCATCGACTGATTAGTTTGCATTATACGGTTAATAAATAATGAGATCGCCGCGTCGGTGGCTTAGGCGTTATGAGTCTGAGTAGTGATTCCAACGTAAGTAAAGTAAAGTAAAGATCCCTTTTCACGCCTTTCGGCGCATCGGGCATATGGGCAGAGCGTCCCATATTTTACAGACCATCAGCACTCTGTGACCCCGATCGAAATCCACTGCTGGCTGCGTGGATTTATATCGTGGTATGGGGCGTCGCAGGTCGACCCAGCCTAAAATTGGTACCAGGATGGCCGTCCTGTGGAAGTAGAGACGGCCGGCGTTATACTGACCACATTATGGATGTGAACAAAAAAGACACAAACAATAGATTGCCCAGTTTATTGCCTGGCAAATTTCGCTGTGCCTCGTCTGGTGCATACTACAATAACAATTAATTAAAATGAAGCAAATAAATTAAACTTTCAAATTGAAATACAAAATTGACTACATTCACACATTGTTTGTTCCACCAAGGTAAACACTAAGTGGCGACCATTTCATTATGTCGGCAAAGTTCTGGATTAAACCGACTGATCACTGATGCTTCTGTGTATCGTAGTAACCTACAC